TTTACAGGATTTGTTTAATTAAATTCTAATAATAGCCAAAAACTGTTATTCTAATATTCCCAAAAGCAACTAGAATAAAAAACAACAACATAGTTTTAACATTTTATATACGTTTTAAATATTTAGAATAAATAAAATAATAAGGATGGAGTAATCAGAGAATAAAATCTGAGTTCAAAAGTGCGTATGGATGTGAAAGGGAAATTGAACTATTCCTCACAGAAATTTAACCAAAAATGAAAATGCTCTTCCAAAAAAAAAGAGAAAAGAAAAGAAATTAACAAAGTAACCTGTAGTAGCAAAAACCGTGTAAATAAAACAAATCATAAAGAATGTAATACTTACCAAGTCCATGTGCTGTCAAGAAAAAATGATTAGAGAAAGACAGACAGAGACAGAGCAGAAAGGAACTAGAGCTGGAGGGAAAGATAGAGGAGCTAAAGCGAGTTGTACTCACCGAGGACGAGGGGCTATAGGACCTGGTTCTACGCCGCCTTCGTTTGTGCTTACGCCTGCTGCCCTTCCGCCGGTACGAGTCGTCCCGCTCACGCTCTCTCTCGCGGCCGTGTCGGTAGTCGTACATGTTCGGGGAGAAATCTCGAGGATAATAGCCTTCGGCTGCTCCGTGCGGCTCCCTGTCCCTGTCCCGCTCACGGCTCTGGTCCAACCGTCTGTACCCCTCATAGTATCTTCTGTCGAACGGCCGGTGTTCTGCTGAGCGATTGTCATAGCTGCGGCTGCACAGAGACACACAGTCAAAATGCTGTGTTCTAAAAACAGAAGGAAAAAAAACAAAAAACAGAAGCTCATGCTGTTAAACACAAGATTCACCAATCACAAATTAAGCAACACACTGACTTCCAGATTACAATTCTGTTCGACTTCAAAATCTCTTCATTAGATTATTTTACTTTCTCCATAAACAAATAAAGTCCTTACACATGCTACATAGTTAAAAGATTCATGTAAGTTTTTTTAACTTTTAAAAAAAGCCTGTCATAATTAATTATTTAGTTTTGAACCAGAGGAGGTAACCCAGTAATACAGAGAGCAGTCTGCGTTACACAGCTCTGCAGTTAAGTAGGATTTCACAAAAATCTCAGAACATTATTAAAACTTGCCATTTCTTACTGTTTATATTAGCATTAGCGCAGTTAGAAGAAGTAAACCTATACTTCCCTCTGTACATTCCCTGTAAAGTAAACAGAACCTTAAAATAACTAAGATTTCAAAAATATTCCCATAAATCTGGACTCTTCAAAGGACAAAACAAAATAATTTTGCTGTAAAATTATTTCCAGCAAAGTTGCTGTAAAATGACTTTAATTTGCCATAAAGTTATTTACAGAAACATTAAATAACTTTGCTGTAAATAAAGTTACAGTTTAAGGAACAATCGATATGCCGGCTTTAAAATGGCTTCCCCTCCAGCCGCTTTTTACACATTGTGCAGTTCCTCTAGCATTTTTAAAATCACCCACTGATACCGAAAGTAGTTTAGTTCTGTTCCCACAAGGAGTCTTGTTATCACCCCGACGCGCTGCTGATCAAAATTAAGATCGCGTCGCACTCAGGGCCGGTCGAAGATGAAACCGAGCGATTCTGGTCACTCCTCCTTTACAGCAGAACACACTGAACACGTTTTCCACGATGCAGCTCGTACCTCCTTGAGCGTAGATAGCTTCCTTCTTGTCGGTGCCCTCGTCCCCTTCTGTCTCGATCTCTGTCACTACTGGTGGAGTTAGTGGGTGTCCGTCTGTGTCGATGTCTTCGTCCTCTGTCTCTGTATCTGTCTGGATAGCTGGTTCGACTATCTCTGTCTGAAGATGTGTATCGTCTATTGTGAGGCATCTAGGGAGTTGATGGAAAGAAAAAGTATTTTAGGGTAAAAAAAAAAATTAAAATAAAAATCACTGACAACAATATGAAGCCAAGATTGCACTGAGATACATTATTTAATGTCAGCATCTGAGATCTAATATTAGATCGTTGAGGGTCGCTGGACTTTTCGCCCCTTTGTTACTTCCTACATTTACAGTTTTGGTGTATTCATACTCGCATTTTAATTAAAAAGATCACATGTCGCTAGGTGCTGCTTTGAGAGCTGTTGATGTAGAGTAAATGTGTACATGGGGTTCTTTACTTTTAATTTCAGGTTCGTAATTGTCAAATTTCATAAGTGTCAACTGGTTCAAACTAGGCAGATATCTGGAAACAAGGTCATAATTATTAAAACCTGAGTATCTCCATTTAGGGACAACATGGGCTATTTCTATTCTCAAGCAGAAAATCTTCATAAAACAGATTTATAATTACATCTATAATTGATTAAATTACCGTAAAAACAAGAAAAATAAACTAGTATCCCATAGTTTAAGTACATTGGTTACAAGATGGCCATGGGTGGGAATCAACTGACCCACAATTCCTATTGACAAAACCAATCCAGCCAAAACAATAATGCCTTCATGAATATGCAAAACAGAAGAAGATAAGTCACTGGGTGTCACTATTCATTTATTTACAATACATGCACATGTTGCATTTCTAACTAGATGGAGGGGCACTCAGTCCTGGCCTCTCATCGCTCATGTATGGTAACAATGTCATTGTAATACCACAGTTGCAAATGACTGCTTGTATCCAATATTTGGTACAATATTTCAGATGCTGTGAAGGAAATATCTGCTTGCCAATGACTTTTGGCTGCTTGGATGGACTTTCAAAGTGTTTTATTCCCAAACTTGAACACAAAGCTTATAAAGAGTGGAGAAAACATTATAAGAGCTTCAACACTGTCACCACCAATATTTAATAATAATAACATCAAAATGTTATTTTTTTTCCTAATATTGTGCACCACTAACTGATCGCTGGATAAAAATCCTTGGTGATGTTTTCCAAGATGGCTTGAGGGCCCCCATTGGAGAACTTTCTAGATGCGGCCCTGAGAGGTTGCAGATTATATTATCAAATTAAACCGGATGGAAAACTGTCATTACACACTTTGTTCATAGGCCTCTACTGTCAACATGACGTCGATCGAAACACCAAAGTATTACTCAAAACAATACAAAAACGTTCCTCATGTTGAAAGTTTAGTGTGTAGAATAATACCCTAAATATTATTTTTGTCTTCGACATAATCACATCTCACAGCAAACCCACGCACCCGTCTGCACTGCAACCTCTACCAAGTGGAAGCAGAGAGCCCTGGAGCAAAAATAGCAGCTGCTGGGGAGGCATGTTGGAGCTAGACTCGCAAATATGTGGACACATGCAAAAATGCATGTATATATAACCCCGCTGCATGTTTCAAATAATTTTTTTTTTGAAAACGTCATAGCTTTATACAAGTGTAAAGAGGAAACATATCCCCAATGTGTCGATTTGATATTTTAACACATATTTATGTGGACATCTTTAATGAAATGGGTTTCATTTTCGAAACCCTGGCTCATAAAATAACAAGAGCTTACAACCTATGTGTTTGCCGTACCACACTCCAACCACGACATTTCACTTCAATTTTATAAAAATTCAATTTGGTGCTAATAATATACGCAAGAACCATAATATAAAACATAAACTCAAAACATAAGCTGGTTTATAGAGCGAAGCAGCAGCAGCCTAGGTGCTATACTAGCCACTAGCTAATGTAAATAATTTCACCGCCATTTTAGCTCCACAGCAACTAATGCTAGCGGATATGCTAGCGGCGGTTTAACTGGTGTGAAACAGGCTAGAAGAAGATTAAAAATAGGTATTGACCGTTTTCGCAGCGAGGCCTGTGCGTTTGTCCCATAAAAAATCCGTGGTGGCGTTTGGGTTTCTCCACTATCTTGTTGCTGGCCCGATGTTAAGCGCTACTTTGCTATCGCGTTGCCAACGTTCAGTACAGCAAAGCAAGTTCTGGTTCAAACTGGTAAGGCTGTAACGCCTCCCTGCGCTCAGACACAGTACTGTTCAAATATAAGCTACAAATAAGGTTTGAAAAAAAACATATCTAGTTTTAGGTCGGACAGAATGAACAAAAATAATACTTGTTTGCAAAATGCCACAATAATGAGAGGTGATATGCCAGAGATTTCTTTACTAATGCATTCAAAATCAGAAGTTTGCAAACAGTTCCACAATATTTGGTTGCATTGTCTTTATCCTTTCACATTAAATTCTGCCCCATTCCTCCTCACAGAGCTGGGGTAACTTGAAGACCCTTTTGCATCCAAGCTTCAGTTTTCTGGCTTATGTCTTGAGATATTGCCTCATTATGCTCTTTTCTTGTGGAAATTCGTTTTGCGAAGTGCACCAGTTCCTCTTGCTTCAAAACAGCCAAACACCATGATGCTGCCTCTCCCATACTTCACTGTTTGTATGGTTTTTCTTAAAATATAACTGTAATTATGGCTAGGTGGTTCGCCTTTGATCTCATCGGATCAAAGAACTATCTTCCACTTGGCTATGGAGTCTCCCTCAAATAATTTGGCAAATTCTAGTCAAGTCTTATGGGTTTTCTTTAACAGTAGCTTTCTCAGTGCCACTCTCCCATAAAGCTTTAAATGGTGAACAACTCAGGCAACAGATGTACAGAGTATTGCAACTCCTTCAACTGTAGTCGTAAGTCTCCTTCTTGCACAGTCAGTGTATAACGGCATCATATTCCTCACAGTAGTTACTGACGAATTTAACTAACTTACAGGGTATATTTGGTGCTTTAGAGATTGTTTTGTATCCGTCCCTTAACTTACACTCGTCAATAACCTTTTCTCTGATTTATTTGGAGTGTTCTTTAGTCTCCATGTAGCCAGGAATACTCCTTTAATAACCATTGAATGGACTTTCCACACCTAGCAGTTTTTATGCAAGTCACTTGGGATTCATTCACTGCTCTGCACTGATCTCCATTCCACTTACTGTGAGACTGTTAGTGTCAGCTGGCTGGACCTCTATTGATTTAGGTCAGTCACTTTAAGGGGGTTGAATATTTATGAAATCACTCATTCTATGTAAAATATTTTTATTATAATCATTTCGTAGAAATGTTCACTTTGACAATAAAGAAATAATTTCTTGTGAAAAATGGCAGATTTGGATTGATTTGTTAAAGCAATAACAGATAAAACATCCAAGGGGTTGAACACTTTTTACAGAAAGTCCTTGTACTACACAAAAAACAAGACGGTTTTTATTTAACAACACAGACCACATAAGTATGCAAAAAAAAAAAAAGGATTTGCAATTGAATAGAAATAACTGTCTTTTAGAGAAATTACGAGTCCTCGGCTATTTTAACGAGGTAGAACATTCAGAAAATCGATAATACTATTCCAATCTACAGACGCAGTTGTGTCACTTTGACAATGTGGTCTCAAAAATGTATTAGCTTAATGTAAATTTAGCTTCCTCAATGGTCCAAACTCTCGGATGACTCAAGAAAAGCTGCAAGTGGAACAGCTAAAGTCGCATAATGCCAGAGGAATTTTGGAAAACCACTGCAGCGTTTCCACCAGGAGCCGGGAGCGCCAGCAGGAAGTATGCCGTCCACCTGTCCAGACAACCTAATGTGTTGCTTTTAATGATCCTACAGAGCAAAACAAAACGAGTAACAGAATTTGGATTATCATACTATATCATTGCGATCAATTCCTAAGTTTGAATGATCTATAATAAATAATTTTACCAGTGACTAATGAGGTTTCTTCGCCGATTCCGCAGCCTACTTCTTGAACATGCTGTGCCTCATAATGACCATATGTTCCAGGCGTAGCGAGCCTCTGTAGAGCCACTCCTTGTGTTTATCACTCTGAAGATGGAAATGAACAGAAACATCTTGCGCTCAAAAGGAAAAAAATGATCAAAAGTACTTAATAAAAGTCAACTAACCTCAAAAATGACCTCAACCAAGCTGCAGTCAACAGCGATGATCTCACACTTCTGCATGACACCTTTATAGTCAGCCTTTATAGCCTGTCCAACTTTGTACTGGGTCTGCGGTGGATACGGCCAGTCTTCCAGATACTCCTTCATGAAGTTCCTGTGAATTTCATCAGGAATGTCGTCTAAAGGATTGTCCACTGTCAAAAAAGGGGAAAAAAAGATTCACAGTTTTTGTGATGGTAAGGCGACAGAGGCTGTGTACAAGAAAGTGAATAATTTGAGGGTCTCATCTGAGTTATACTTTAAGATCGGCACACGATTTTGATATTCAGTTGGATTTGGAAATGGTATCATAACAATATTTCATATTGCACTATAAAAACAAAACTTTATCAAGCACTTTGGTCTAGTTTCTAGTACAAATAACTTTTCAGCAAGAAATAGGAACTTGTTTTAAGTCAGTAATTCCTTAATATTGATGAAAAAGTGCTAGCTATAAGTAAAATAATGTACCAGCAGAACAACACATTTTCCCCATATTATAAGTTTTAACTTCCAGTATTATAAGATGTTGATTTCGGAAAATAAAATGCAGCCACATCTTAATTTTTTTCTGGACTCGTATATAATATGGATTATACTTTGGAAAACAGTAGATTTCTCTTTTTTTTTTATTTTAAAGTTCAATGATATAAGGAGCTTTTGTACTTTGTTCAGGTATAATTGGATCAAAATTTTAAATCAATTCAAAGTAGAAATGTGAACCTTTCACCATATAGTGAGTCGATTGATAACGATTTGATCCAGAAACTATTTCTAATTCAGAAACCAATTTACCAATTTTTCTATCCCAACCGTCTTGAGATTCAGTTTAATTAAGTTCACCAACAGGAGGAAAAGACTGTAAAACAAATAGAACATTTATTTAAAAACAATTCTATGAGGTTCCACACTCAGTTCACATTTAAACAAAAAAGAGGTTTGTCCATGAAATTATTTAACTTAAATTACCAGTATTAGGTTAGTTGCATGTCTTTTTCTTAAATAAAATCTATATATATATATCAAAGAATAATTCAAAATAACACACGGTGGGCGAGACGATGCGAGGGATACTCACAAACAGGAGCCGCAAACATGCACAACTGAAGCGCATTTTAAAATAGATTTGTTTTGAATTGATTCAAAATACTCAGGAGTGGGAATTACAATGCTGATTTTTTTTTCTGCACCTACAACTTCTAAAATTTTATTTAGTATCTTTTGCCAATAAGTTATTAACTTGCTTAACACAAACTTACATGGTCTGTACACCAGATGAAGAAAAGGCAGGCCAACATACATGGGAGTGTGGTCATCAATATACACCAGGAACCTAGAAAAGACCACACATTTTCATCAAATGGGTGAAGGAAATTATGTTCACTTTAAAGTACAAGAAATTAGCTTTATATAAAGGTTTAAGTTCAGTGAAAGATTCGAACCTCATGCGATTTTTTCGGCTAGGGAGCTCGGCCATTATGCCGGGCTTGTACACCACTTTCTCGTTAGAAATCTTGACCACCACGCGACAGCCTATAGAAAGCTCGTCCAACTTTGGCATGTTGTCAAAGGCGAGGTGGTGACCGGACACAAGGATTTTACCCTTCTCCTCAAAATTGACCTTGTATTTCACCTTTCCACCTTCTGAAATGAGAAGAAACACAGCAATACACTTAAAGAGGCTCAAATTAAAGCTGCTTCGGACAAACCTGTTTGGGAAAGAAGAGCCAATTTCTTCTTCTGTCCAAAATATGTCTGAAGAAGAAGTCAACACTCAAATTTATGGCGTCTTAAATTTAAACATAAAGTTTCCCACAAGAGAGAAAATTATATTTTCAAGTGAGCAAACTCAGCTCCAACTCATCAGATCTGTTTTTTAACCGTTTTTTTGGGGGGAGGCTGGACATGCATAAAAGCCATAAAGTCTTGCCTTTTGTTATTATTTCTGCAACTTTCCCTCGTTGCCAGCACAAATGTTGCTTCCTCGCCAAAACGTTCATGTTCACTTCGATTTCTCCTTTGGGCACGCTTGGAGGAGCAACGGTCTTTTTAGAGGACTGCTGGCTGGCAGAGGAGTCTGCAGTAAATGCAAAAAAAAAAAGCACAAAATGTTACTAGTAAATCTAAGATATGAGAAGATTATGGGAATGTACGAGAATGGTTAAGTCTTCTGCACCAACAATGTGTCGGAAGCAACCTTAGAAAATCCTGTAAAGGTTAAGGACTTCTACATTTAGAAAACAGATTATAAAGATAACATGTACAATTTTCTTCCTTAGTGTTATGCAATAATGCTGAGCATGCAAAATAAACTATTTTAATCAGTAATAAATTTAATATAAAATATAATAAAATGATATGAGTGTTTGATCAGCTCCTGGCTTACTTTTTGTCTCTGCAGGTGGTGTGAGTGTTTTGACCACAGCCTTAGCACTGATTGTTTTGGACGGCTGTGTTGCCGTTGTCGATGTTTTGGACGACTTTGTTGTTGCTGACGATGTTTTGGATGGCTGTGTTGTTATTGTCGATGTTTTGGACGACTTTGTTGTTGCTGACGATGTTTTGGATGGTTTTTTGACAGTAGTCGTTGATCTCTTGCCCCTCCTGGTCTCTGGTGAAGACATTCTGCTTCTTTTGGAAGCCGGATTGAGCTTTGTATGTTTTGGTCTGTTTTTATTAATTTTTCTTTTCTTTTTGGATCCAACACTAAAATCTGAGAGTGAACAGTCTGATTCACTCGTCTCTTTCTCTGGTTCCCACTGGCCATCTGACTCCGGAGAGCTTAAATTATCCTCGTTATCGCTGTCAGAGTCGGACAAAAGAGGCGGGATAGCGGCAGAAATCTCAGAATCTGTAAGTTTACTCAAAACCACCACAGCTTCTTTTTCTAAAGCGACACTGAGGCTTTTTTGACTATCAATTTCCTCCTGACGTTCTTCAAGTTCCGACACTGGTGACTGTGAAGTCGAGTCCCTGGAAGCTGAAGGTCTGCAAATACGATCCCCCGAAGAAACAAACACAAATGGTAAAGTACGCCCTAAAAAATAAAAAAAAAAAAAAAAGAAGAAAATGCAAATCAGTGGGATTCAAATCCCAGTTTCAATCTCAATTGTTTCAATTTATGAGGCGATTGATTTCTCTCTTACTGCAGCTCGTGGGTTCTTCACTGTCCTCACTGTCAGAATCCAAGTCGGTGAACTCCCATCCCAACAGAGAGTACAGTTCCTTCACAGTGTTCTCAAATATCACAACAGACCTACAATATAACAGAAAATAAAATTAACAAAACAAAGAGTGCAGGAAATTACACCCTGAATATAGTTTTTAAGAAGTGAAGAGTCTCTAGTTGGCTCAGATAATGTTTTCTAATGAATATTGAGTGTGCATAAAATGTCTAAACACCCTTAAAAGTTGATCACATTTGTAGCATAAAAAATCCATCATATTAAATCTTCTATATTCACATTTTTTTCCTGAATACAGACTCCAAATTGCCACAAACCAGATCACAGTGAACATGTGGAAGATAATGCTCCACTCAGGAGAAACCAAACTTGAAGAGCAAAACAGCTACAGTTTTATTTTCACTACTATAGATTCTTGTTTTTTTTATTATCTCCAAATAGCTCCCCTCCCCCTTCATCAATCAAAATTCAACTTGCAAAAAACACTAAACATCAGTATGTTAACCTTAATCAGTTCAGTAAAATTTATAGTACATGATTAATGTACCCGTTTTTAAAAACTGTTGATTTATCATGTGTACATAGTACATTTAGTCAGTATGAATATGGTTGTATTTTTTGTTTGCCTTCTCATGACATTGTTTTATGTGATGTTTTCCTAACAGGTCCTCGTTGGAAACGAGAATTTGGTCTAAAACAACTTGCAAGGTAAGATAATGGTTAAGTAAAATTGTTAAAAAAAAAAATTAAATTAGGATGCATCAGAGACACACCAGAAAGGTCCAACTATGATATAAATCTAACAATAAGTAAAAAAAAAAAAAATTCCTAATGCTCTAAAACAAGGGAGAAGAGGATGAGAGAAGCACTCATCACTTCAGAATCAGCTTTGTCACCAAGTTTGTGTCCCCAGAAAATGAAATTTTAATTTGTTTCCCAAGATGCAACAAATTAGCCAAGAACCAAAAACGTTTTATAATTTATTCACGATGAAAAATGTCGTCAACGTCTCTGCGAGAACCTGTCTTTTAAGAGTGCAAGAATATGGCAACAATATGAGTAAGACATAGACTGACAATACTTACTGACAGAGCTTTAAAAATCTGGTTGCCAGTGTTTGCCTTCTTTCTAGTAGAGACTGCAGCAGCCGGTATTTCATAAGAGTGCCAGCGGTGGACAGCCTGGGTTTGTGAACCTCATCTCTGATCAAGCTTTGGAGCTCTTCTTTGCTTATCTCTATTTCTTTTCTCTCCATCCGCACTGCAACAACTCAAGGATCACAAGTACAGAACAGAAGTGAGGTAAACATGTGTTCCACACAGCTTCCTGTTTCCCTCCCTGTCCATCTTATCGGGTTCAAACACAACGTTGGGCATTACTGTTAAACTGAATTGTTCTTCATTATTCTCATCATTTAACAAATGAAAGTTGTAGAAGTACGGTATTTACTTGCATTTATCCTGATTTACGTGTAATCAAGTCTACCCAAATACCTTCTGAAGTCACTTCATTAGTAAGTAGAATCCACCGGCATGTTATTTAGTCTCAGAATAAATACAGCCGTAAACCTCCACTTCCCTGAAAGTGCCAACCACACAGTGAAACACGATGGTGGCAGAGTCATCCTGTGTGGATATTGTCACAGAGGAAAAAGTCGATAGGAAGGCAGACAAAGCTAAACACAGGATAATCCAGGGAGAAAACACGGAAGAGGTTGTAAAGTATTTGACATTGGGTTACAAGGTATAAAATTAATGTTGAGTTCCAGTTTGTCAAAAAGGACTTTTTTTAAAAAAAAAAAAAAAAAAAAAGTCATTTCTTTCACAAAAATAACATGCATGTATGACCCTGAGCGCTTTCCATAGGCCGGCTCCAACTCAAGAGTGCTCCAGTGCAAGAAGTAGGAGACAAAAGATACATTTCTGTTACCTTTTTAAACTGTTTACCTTTGTGTACATATGCACTTAACTTTATGATGCGACCCCTGGATTTCTCAGCAATGAATGATATTTCTATTCTATTCTAATTAACATCTAATAAAATGTAATTTGGGCTGAAATTAAATATATTATCTCACAAAGCCAATCCCCCAAACCTCACCAACCAATCAAAGCGAGTCGATTGCTGTTGTATCGTAAATGAGGGATGTTGTCGACGAAACAAAGAAAACATTGCCTTATCAGATGTTCAGATGGCAAATAACTGTCTGACCATCTGTATTTCTCTATCGAAACCTTCTATTGAGAAAAATATTTTTTTTTACGTGAGCGTACAGCTTCTAACATTTCGTGAACCAAATTTTACATCTGGCCTGAAACTATTTAAATCGCTACCCATACAAACATATGTCTACAGTTACGTCATGTTAATAAGTTTAATCAATGTGCACATCTTACCAGTAAAAATGTTTTTCAACAAGTCAACTGCAACTTCCTCTCCTGCTCTTTCTTCTTCTTCTTCTTCTCCCGCTTCTTCTTCTTCTTTGGGGAGTAAAACTAGCACTTTTGGATGGCAAGAGATGAGGTGGCGCCACCACCTGGTACGGAATGTTCTTCTTCTTTTGTATAATGGCGGATCGCAAGCAACTTTAAGGTGCATACCGCCACCTACTGTACATGAGTATGTATGGAATTTTAACGGAATGTAATAATAATGAAAGCCTTAAAACTATATTTGAGTTATTTTGCGAGGAGTACAATATTCATTTTCTTTTGGTAATTTTGGTCAGTAAAAACACTACAATCACTTACACTTTCATTTGTTTTTTTTCTTTTAATTTCTCATTTTAGTCTAAACTTAGCAAAACCATCAATTCCTCTCATATTTAGTTGCATCTCCTTTATTTTTAATTCATTTCTAGCCTTATTGGCATTTGTTGCAGCCTTGTTATTTTGGATAAGACTTTTAAGCATAGTGCATTATGTTTCAAAGGAGTTTGGGGTCAGGATCATTGCCAAAGTTTATCCTGTTGTATTCATATCCCAGAATGTCATGATGCATGTTTGAGACCCCCAAAATACAACATAAGTTTTGGGTTGCTCCGTAACTTATTAACCAATTTTATTTCATCTGTGGATCATTGTTTGAGTTGGATGCTACACCTGGACGTGATTGGGTGTCAAATTTAAATAAAGTACAAGAACCTGGGAAGCTGACAGAAGCTTGTTGATGTTTACAAAAACTCTGGGGTTTAAGGTGAAATTTGACGTCCTGTCAGATTTATTTTTGAACACTGAAGTAGACTGGCTCGATCATGAACAGTTTGATCTGAAAATAAAGAAATTCAAATCTGAAAACATCTTTATTCCCAATTTTCACCAAGCTGAGATTAAAGTAACCGGGGTAGTTTTCATCAAACAGAAGATACCAAACAAAGTAAAACATGAGGCAAGTTGTGTAAGAAACTAGTTTTATTGCCAGCCTTTGAAAATTAGGATGAGTAAACAAAAATGACCAAGAACCAAAATTACAAAATATTTAAAAAGAAGAGTCACAAATGGACACACAAAAAAAAAAAAAATTATGACAACATAAACAATTAACATTCATAGTTCATTTGGGACAATTAGAGGGAAGATTGAGTAGACAACAAAAATGACTAAAATAAAAAGCATACAGTTAAATCAAATAAAATAAGTGTCAATCAATATCTGAAAAGTGACTGTCAAATCATATTGTTACTATGCAATAAATATACTTTCAAAATAAATGCAATCACATTTGAATAAAAACACTTAGGATATTAATATTTGAGTTGCTTGCTCTTCTGTAATCTTTCACAAAGAGGTATATATAGTCTAATACAAACACTGCCTGACCAAAAAGCGTTTTGTCAACTGGATTTAACTAAGCAAATACCTTGTTGGATAATTACTGCATCTTTCTGCTGGCAACGCACCATTTAAGAGTGCTGATTTAATGAGTAGCTTGTTTCTTGAACCATCATAGTGAAAGATGTATCCTCTGGCTGTGGAAAACATGTCAGTCTGTTTAAGAAGGGTCAAATCATTTGAATTAAGTGGAGAAAACAGCTGAAGAGATTGCAGAAACTACTGGGTCAACTGTAGTTTCTGGGTCAAGAACTTATTGGAAGGAGAGTGAGGAAGCATCATCATTTTCTTTACACCCTTGTCCCTTAGTGGGGTCGGGAGGGTTGCTGGTGCCCATCTCCAGCTAACGTTCTGGGCGAGAGGCGGGGTCTCCCTGGACAGGTCACCATTCTGTCGCAGGGCAACACAGAGACACACACACTCACACCTTTGGAGAGGCCAATTAGCCTGACAGTCATGTTTTTGGACTGTGGGTGGAAACTGGAGAAAACCCACGCACGCACAGGGAGAACATGCAAACTCCATGCAGAAAGACCGGGGCTGGGAATTGAACCCAGAACCTTCTTGCTGCAAGGCAACAGCTCTACCAACTGCGCCACTGTGCAGCCCAGAAGCATCAACTTTTAGAAGAAATGTCACGAATAATTGTGATGGGGGTTATCACTTAAACTCACTGAAATCAAATAAAAGAGGAAAAAATAAAACAGTGTAACTATGGGCCATGATTCATAGTGAAAGTAAGCATACTTTCCCATGCAAAAAACTCAAGGGATTGGGACTGAACAGCTGTACAACCATAAGAAAATCACTAATCAGTCAGAAACACTGGAGAGAAAGGCTTCAATTTGCAATAAAGCAAAAAAGACTGGACTCTGAAAGAAGGTCGTATAATCTGATGAGTTCAGATTTACCCTCTTCTAGATCGATGGGCACATCAAGGCAAGAAGAGAGGCAGGCGGAGTGATACGGTCTTCGTGCCCAGTGTGTCCTGTACAAGCTGTGGGGCAACGCTATGATCTGGAGTTGCAACTGGGGAGGTCAGGTCAAAGTTGAGCAAAATTATGAGGTCAGCAGATTACCTGAATATACTGAATGACCAGATTATTCCACCAATGTTTTGTCTCTTCCCTGATGACACGGGGAATATTACAAGATGACAAGGCCAAGATTCGTCAAGCTGAAATTGTGAAAGAGTAGTTCAGGGAGTGTTGGACATTATTCTCACAGAGAGTCTGGACCTTAACACCATTGGGAAGCTTTGGGATGTTTTGGAGAATGCAACACTGGATGGAAATAAATCCTGTGACACCGCAGAAGCTTATCGAAACAAAGCAACAGCAAAAAAAAATCAAAGCTAAAGGCAGACCAACAAAACACTAAAGTGTGCGACCTTTTTATTGGTGATTACCTTTTTTGGCCAGGTTCTTTATCTTAAATGGTAAAGAAAATAAATGCATTTGGAACAAAACTTGAAGGAAATCTAACATGTACAAAATAATCCAATGGGGGATATCAGAAGCATGTCTCAAATCTTTTTTTTTTGGGGGGTGGGGGGGGGGTTCTCACCACTTATGTAGTAATAGCAACTAGTGAAAATCTACAGAACTACAAACTTCATTTGGCCTTCAGAGTAGCTCAAGAACAGTAGAAAACTTCATAAAACGGGTTTCAACTGCCAAACACCCGGATGCAAGCCTTACGTTACCAAGTTGGGTGTCGTGGTGTAAAGCGTGACTGAACTCTAGATCGACTGAAATGTGTTCTGAGTGAAGAACAATGACTCCTTATGTGGCAATCCAATGTATTGACTGCAGTGTATCTAGTGCAAAGTTTGGTGCAGACACGATTGTGTGGTTTTCTAATAAAGCTGCAGGACATAAACACGTTTTGGACAATTTCATAATCCCAACTTTCTGGAAAGGGTTTAGAGGTGGCCTCATCTTATCTGACACCTTTGGGATGAATTAGAGCATAGAAGTTGGACCTTCTTGCCCAACATCAGTGTTTGACCTCACAAATGGTTAAACATTCCCATAAACACGCTCCTAATCTTTGTGGGAAGACTTCCCAGAAGAATTTCTATAGGTGCCAACATCCTAAACGGCACAGATTAAGAATAGGATGTCACTCAAGTCCATAAAGGTTTAAAATCAGACGAGCAAAACATTTGACAACATAGTGTAGCACTGCAATTCTGTTTGTGGCCACACAAGATATACCTAGAATGATTTGTAATAGATTTAAGGATATATCTTTAATATGTCAAAAACATATTTGAGACGCTAGAATAAGGAAAGCTTAATATGTTGAATTGAGTCCTTTTGATTAATAGTTGGATAATAAAATGATTGGTTAACATGAAATAATTCTCCAGCTTTTGGAGAAACTAAGACTCAAACGTCACAAAGAAAAAGGGTCAGACATCAACAGAGTAGATAAACGGAAAGCAAAGCCAGTCTGAAACGATGCATATTGTTACACCACAGGGGGAAAAAAAAAAAAAAAAAAAAAAAATTTCACGAGCTGTTGAAGAGAAGATTTCTACATCGAGAAACCAGTTTCAACATCGAGTATCGAATCAAAATTAAAAAAAAAAAAAAACTTGTTTCGCTGCTATGCAAGCCAGCTGGCAGATTTGCGTCACAGCAGTAGGCAATGCCTGGTTTCCAGTAAGAAGGTACAACAATGTTTAAAAATTAAAAACAAAACAAAGAAACAAAAAAAGAACATTTAACAAAAATTTTTCAACTGCATCAAGCAGAGCAATGCAGAGCTTGCACACGTTGCTGCACACTGCCATTCAGCTTTCTGACGGGCCATAAGGCTTTTCCCTTGCTCACGGGAAAAATTCGGCTGTTTTTGGAAATATTTACGTTGCATTTTTTAAATTCACGCTGCCACGAATAGTGTCCAGTCGAGATCTCTAGGCGACCATATCATCAAAAATTGTTTTGTCAAAGTTCCAGGTAACCTGGTTTCAGCTCCGAAAACATACTCTGGAATCTATGGGACTGTTTTGCATTTCAGTTTAATTAATGTAAGTACATTTGTACAATTAGGGAACAGGGAAAATTAAAGTCATTCATCGTCATGAAGAACACGGGGAAGGGTTTGCCTGGGGGGTCTCTTTTCAGTCTTTTAACGTAAATTTCATTTAGGCTGAACTGTTACAAAAACAAAAACAAAAACAAAAAATGACGCATCCCTCTTAGGAATTTGCATTTATCATTTCTACATCTATTTTACATATACCTGCATCTATGGATTAATCAGAGTCAGAGTCGTCCTTGGACTCTAGCTTGTTCCTCTCCTCCCACAGTCTGGCAATGTGCTCCAGTCGCACAGAGCCTCTGAAGATCCACTCCCTTCGCTGATTTTCCTGGAAGATAAAAAAAAATAAAAAATGTTAGGAACACAATATTAAAGGCATTGATGTAATATATCAACATAGTTATGCGCTTGCTCGTGTTATTATAAATAAAAAACCTAGTGCTGAGGTAAGGATGTATAAAAAGTAAATATTAAAATTTTGAGTTGATTGGAGTTTCTAAGAAGGTTTAATAATACTTCAATTCACTTCCTGTCATTTTCTAAGCCATTTTGCAAGATTGGAAAAACAGGCGAACATGCCATCTAAAAAAATATATATAAAAAAAATCAGATCCTCTGGTTAGGAACCAGAAACAAGAATACAGATACTTCTCATTAACATAATTTAAATGTAAGGTATAGGAGGTAAAATTAAGTCTTTCTCTTTACAAATTACAAGAAAAGACTGAAAAATAAATCCTTCACAGATAAACGTCTTGCATGCAAAACTGTTTAAAAGACAGGTAAAAAAAAACAAGAAGCAAAAGAAGAAACACTGACCTGAAAAACAACTTGCATTAAGCTGCAGTCGATCACAACAACCTCACACATCTGCATGACTCCATTAAGCTCCACGTTAAAGCTCTGTCCAGCTCTGTACTTGTTTAAGTGAGGGTACGGCCAGTCCTTCAGGTACTGTCTCATAAAGCATTTGTGCGCTCCGTCGGGAACGTCGTCCAAAACATCTTCCACTGTTGGGAAGAGAGCAAAAGATTAAAGTGTGTTACTGTATGAACAGCTCCGTCTGAAGTAGGTAAGGAAGCGAACTTATACTACAATCAAAGAAGAGGTTCAATCTGTTCTTGGCATGCAAAGAGGAAACTAATGCGATTATTGCATCTTACGCAATGTTATTATTGTGCACACCAATGTTACAATATGCAATATATTCTTCATGAATTAAAAAAAGAAAAACTACAGAAATCTGATGATACAAGTACCTTACACTAAAATATGAAATACGTAAAAACAGAGAATGTTTTGCATAATGCGACGAAGCTTTTGTTTTCTCCAGAGAACCCGAGTATTTGTTGCTGTGAACTTACAAGGTCTGCACACCATGTGAAACAAAGGAAGCCCGACATAAACTGGTGTGTGGTCATCCATGAACATCAGAAACCTAAAAATCCAAACAAACGAGTCAAAACAACAAAAACCACCGGCACATTTTTAAAGGCGAAGCCACGTACCGTTTGTATTTTTTCTCTTATTAAAAAAAACAAAAACAAAACACACACCTGAACTGATTTTTCCTGCTGGGCAGCTCAGCCAGTATTCCGGGTCGGAACCGGTACTTATTATTTTGACAGCGGACCACCACTCGGGCCCCGATGTAGAGCTGCTCCACCTTGGGCCTGCTGTCAAAAGCAATGTGGTGTCCGGATACGAGGCACGTCCCCTTATCTTCAAAGCTGACCTTGTACTTCAACCGCCCATCGTCTGTTAGGAGAAGAAAGTAAGAAACTGATCAATTAATCAACTCGCTTTAAAAAAAAAATAATAAAAATCTTTCTGATCGACTGCATCTCAAAAATGTCTGAAAGCTTGCTTCTTTTGTTTTCTTACTTTCTGTTGTCTGATAAAGTTGTAAAGTTATAGATTTGGAGTTTGTTTTTCTTTGACTGGAAGCTTTTTGGATTTAAAAAAAAAAGTATCACCTTGGATAAATGAATAATAATGCAGGAAAACCCAGACTATTCAATAAATTAGAATATCATTGAAAAGCTCATTTGTTTTAAAAACACATTAATTAGATTAATTGCACACAGATGGATGATTGGAAGCCTTCGTTTCTGTTAGTTATGGTGATTCTTCCACCAACGACTAATAAAAACATGACATTTAAAATGAGAATATTACATCAGACAATTAAAAAAAGTGATTTTAAATGAAAATAATACTTGTTACTTTCAATAAGTACTTTTAATCTGACGGCTGAGACTCGTCGGGACGTATACTCCAATTTACTGAATGTGACTGTAGTTGGTTTCGCTCTAGATCGATAGATAACTACAAACAAAGGCACGACCCAGAGATAAGGGAACAACTTCTTATGCGACACTTAAGCTGAAAGCATCATGTTTATACGTTTTAATCAGGAACAATCATCCTGATAAGGCAATATAAATCACTACTGAGCTCATCACGGTCACATGAAACCCTGGCCATATGCTACAGTCAAGTCCCTGTCAGGGTCGTTGGCACCGCCGATCCTTAAAAACCCAAAACAATGCTGAACACACGCGAGCTGTTTTGGTCACATGCTTCGATGTGAAGCTGCCTGAGGAGACGAGTCAAGATGTTGTCATGTTTCACACATATGGCTCAAACCATCTGTCCTCCATGTCTAAAACGACCACGTTATTATTTTATTTGAGTGTTGACCATCTTCTTCCGACTCCTTTTCACATCTCCTGACCCGGTTGGTGTCCAAACCTTTTTACCACAAGGGTCAAAATTACTAAGTTGAAAAAAACATGGAATCACAACAGTTTTATATTGATAATATCAACTTTTTGAGGTTTTTTTATTTTATTTTATCTGCTCTATAATTTAAAAAAAAAAAACTTTTTTCTGTTCACATATGTTTATCTGCTTTAAACATTTACACACACAAGTCATTGTGCTTGACTGAGCAAGACCATTTTAAAACATAAAAAATCAGCATCCATAAAAAGAAAAATGTTTTTTTTTTTTATTATTTTGTTTTCACAGATATGCGTGGCTGAAAATTACAGTTTTGGGGAGGTTTTTTTTTTAACTTGTGGTTTTTACTGAAGTTTGCAGATAAATGTAAAACAGATGATACTCTGAGAAAAATAGTTTAATTAAAACCCTAACTGCTTTAATAAGTTATAATTATACTTCAAAGAAATGCATTACTTGTGATTTTGATGTCAAGTAGATGTTAAATTAAGTAGAGATTGGCTATACTACACACAATGGATACAAACTTGTATATTTTGTAGGCAAATTAGTGAAATTAGAGATAATTAGGAATAACTCCACAGCACTCAAAAATAAGTGGATGCACCAAATTGTAAATTTTTTTCAGTGGGATTAGGCTACTGTGATGTAAGATTTATTTATTTTATTTTTTCCCATGTTTATGAAGAAGGTCTAAAATTTACCAGTAAATATTAAAACTATGCAAACCCTTTTTTGCACGTTTACCCTCAGAGTATCAATCAGGATTTTTTTTTTTTTTTTGCATCTTACCTTTTGTAATTATTTCAACTATTTTACCACGCTGCCACCTCATAGGTCTTCTACGAGCAATAACCATCATGTCAACGTGAATTTCTTCTTCGGGTAAGTCGGGGCGGATCTTGTCACGCGAGCAAAGGGAGATACCTGCTGACACACAGAGGTTATTTTTACCACAGGAAAATACAACGTACCACATGTTGAAGTCCTCCAGCATTTACTTTAACTTGGGAGAGACGCAACGTCCTCGCAGTTTTATCGTTGATCTTACCGTTGCAGTTGTGACTGGTTGTAGGCATCCTTATCAGGTCGCAATTGGAGGAGTTCGAATATTTGAGTTTGCTGTTTATGACCCAGAAATCCGAATCGCTGGAGTCCTCCTCCGACTCCCACTGCGTGTCCGAATCCGAGCTGCTGAAGGACTCGTCTTCGCTGTAGAACTGCGGAGGCGTCGGGGGTCTCAGCGCGCCGATTTTATATTCGGGCAGCTTAGTCAAAACCACAACTGCGTCTTTTATGAGAGTGAGGGAGTCGCAGCCATTTTCAAACTTTGTTGCCTTGCTGGGAGTCTCGTGTGTGGAGGGAACAGAGTCCCACGGAGAATCAGGCTTATTTTCTACCAAGAAATCATAAATCACAAAAACATTCTCAGTTCAGTCATTTTCAACCCAACTCATTCTTGCATGCTAATGTGCATTAACGGCGATTACCTCTTTCTTTGTCAGGATTCGTTTTTCTCTTGTTTTGTTTCCTCCTCGACCTTGAAAGCTTCTTTGTTTTCGTCTTGGGCTTATCCACCTCCATTGCTACTGCAAACATAGCAAATAAAACAAGGGAAGGGATGTAATAATAATAATAATAATAGGCAAAAAAAAAAGTGTTTTTAACTTATTCTCAAGCTTTTTTTTACCCACATTTCTTCTCCTGAACTCACACAAGATATCTCTGAGATGGACCTTAAGAGGCATAGGCAGTGTTGGTCAAAAAAATGTCTAACAGTTCAATGATTCGGTTTTGAATAAACTGAGATTTTAGACATATCATTCTGGACATGTGTATAATAAATGCAGGAAGTTTAGGTTTGATTTTGGTTGTGGTAATTAGTCTGCTACCGCCAGAGCCTGGATGATACTCTCCTGTGAAGAAGATCCAACAAAACTTAAATCCTCTCTTTCTGTTATTTCCAAAAATAAATATAAGAAATTAGGAGCCAGCAGAAATGCTAAAAACGTTACCATACGTGGTGCTTGTTTTTAAATGTTTACTGTTGATTCGGTGACTAAACACATCATCACTCCTCCACTACCGTGCTTGTCTGTGCTTTACAAAAAGATATTTCTCCTGTGGACATCGCTTCAGATGCTTCAGAGTAAATAAGCAACTTTGCAAACCTAAATTGTCCTTCTGTGGTTTCTGAGAGAATCTCTCCCCTGTGAATCTTTCCAAAACAAACAAACAAAAATGTTTAAAATTATTCGATAATGCAACTAGAGCAGAATTTCCTGGGTTGTTTGTTCCAATAAAGACTGCCTCAAACGTTTTTCCATTTGACAGCTTTATAAACTTAATGTGAAGCAATTCACAGATGAAGTCTTCTCTCCTTTGCTGGGTTAAACAAAATCTGGATGCTCCAGATCAGAAAATTGACACATTTTACAGATTTGTGTAAAATTAATCATTTTCCACACCCCTGTAAAATTGTCAAATTAATAAAATGCATCTGATTAGTTGAACCTGGTTGCTACTTTTACACTAAAATCCTATAAAAGCAGCACATGGATTCTCAGTATTGGCTTCATCTGTGTATAAATCCTAACAATGTAATATGTTCTGGGCATTTTCACACTAAATGGCACATTTAAATGGTAAAAACAGGCCTTCGTTGTGGTCTGTCTCTTAGAAGTAAGTTATGGAGAATGTGCTTTGTTTTCACAAATGCTACCCAGTATTTTGTCAACCAACGTTCCTGTTTAGTAAACCCGTACACATCACTCGGGCAATACCATTAAAAATTCAAAATAAAGTTTGGAGTCGGTTGATTTGAACAAAAAATAATCGATAAGTTGGGTAGTGCTTCACATTCACATGAAGCGTGAAGAGGATTTAGTGAAATGTTCACCGTGAGCTCAGGAGTTGCTTCATTGTTAGCTTTAGCTTACTTGCAAAGCAAAGCGTTTCTATTTACAACTTAAACTATTACAAAGTGACTAAACGTGCAATAGGTAAGACGTAACACCACACTTACCTTTCATGTGTTCAAGCAATCCACCTCGAAAGACAAAGGTCTTTCAAAAACACACACACGAGCAAATACGGTTATTGTTTTTTTTTTCTTTTTTTTTTTTTCCTTTTGGTCGTTGAAGGTACTTTCAACCGTTGATGCTAGCAATGAAGCTAACGCAATCGACAGTAACCCTTAAAAATCAAAGGCTTGAGGAAAAGCAATCGGCTGTGCAGATTTTACACAAGAATTTAACAAAGCCCCACTTTGGATACCTCCGTTGTTGTTGCTCTTCTTCCTTGTTTCGGTCGGTTATGGGTGTGATAAAGAACAAAACTGTGCCACACCGCCATCAGCTGGTATAAAAGCAGATTTAGTGTTTACTTCCAATCAATAATATACATTTGTTTAGTTTCAAAAGCATACAGTAATGTAATAAAACAAGCGATTTGAACATGACTGACTGACAAAAGAATAACTCTTTTCCTAACTGTCTTTCTGTATGGAGCTCCATTAGTGCCACATATAAAGAATCTTATAGAGATAAAGAAAGAAATCTCTGACTTGTTTCTGGAAAATAAACTCGTTTAGATTTTTAGTTTAGACACAATCTCATTGAAAGAAAGCTCATCGTCTATGATCACATCTTAAAAGAGTTGATCATCTCAATCAACATTTTTATTGTAGCAGTAACTAAGGGTAAGGATTTACTTCCAGAAAAAAACTTAAGCTTGTTGTTTTTTGTTTTCGCATAAAACCTGTCTGAGCTGAGTCAAATGTAACTGAATTAGATTGAAAACAAACTGAAAAGATTTGCAAGTTTGCACAAGAGAATTTGGATAACAAATTGATGGTATCATCTGCATTAAAAAGGATGTGAAAACATGAAATAAAACTCAGCCAGCTCCGAAGTGAATATGTTCTTTTTCTTCCTATGCTATAAAAGAAAAACATATGACCCTTAAAACTTTGGTTTTCAAGAGTTAACAGCGTGCAGACATAAGAACAAACTATAAACTTTAGGGAAAATAAAAAATATACATCTGACTAAAAACAAAACACAAGACATCAATTTATTGCAGCAACCTCCACTATATGCATTAGATTTTGAAACAAGGTTGTAGAGACATCATCTATCAGCTAAGTCAAATATTTCAACTTTAAGGGGCATTCCAGATGAATTATGTGACTAAAAAACTTTAAATTCCTTCTTTTAAATACTGAAACTGTGCACTGTCAGATTTCAGGGACTGTACACAGTGAAGATTAATTATTAAACCCAATTTTCTTTAATTCTTTGGACAAAACTTGAGTTTAATGGACATGTATGTACATTAAAACGCAATTTAAAATGTTCTTAAAATGCTCTGTTTGCTGATCAGGGCCAAATGATCTAGAAGCTGGAAAAAGTTATATTTCCTATTAGCAACTTGAGATAAAACTACAGCTGAGAAAATTTACTGTGCTCGAGAATTTGCCATTTTAATTTGATATTTGAAACCCTAAGAAACTAGAGAACAATAGTCAACTTGCTTTAGCAAGATATATGGCATGACCACTTTCACTTGCGCTGGTTTCCCATTAGAGGGCTGGATATATTAGACAAAACGTAATTTTTTTGTCTAATAAAAAAATTACTTGTGGAATCTTTAAGTAGGATGGCAATCAAGTCCAAATAGCAAAAGTAATTAATGTAATGCCTTGTTAGTGTGTAATTTAATCCTGGCTCTCTTACAATTAATGGCTTTAAAAATGTATAGGCATGAGAGAATTTCTTTAACCTTCTCAGAAAACGCCACATGGAAACTAACCATTTGGGGCATTCACTCACACAGTCCTCAGAAACTTCGATGCAACCGATATTATAAACCCATTCATGAGTCATTAATAAAAACTTGGACTATAAACTCACAAATACAACAGGATATCTGATGTTTTACAACTTCTCCAAGTTAAGTTGTGGCTCTCTGTCCTTCAGTTGGTGCTCTGTGGATTATTATTCTTGCAAAACTAAAAAAAATGTATATATATACATATATATTCCAGCTGGTGGAGTTTGAAAGTACAGTTCATGCTGCAAAGTTTTTTCCACCCCCACACAAAATCTCCCGTCAGAGTTGAAACGTGACTTCCTGACTGCCTCAGGTGATCTGCTCCTCCTGGTAGGTGGAGGTGGAGATCGAGCCGTAGGGATCCACCACCGTCTGGGCGCAGCGCACCACCGTCACGAGGAGGAAGAAACAGAGCAGGAAGAGGAAGAAGAGGGCAAACCCGAGGTCCACATCCACCTCGAAGGGTGGCGCCTGGTACGCAGGCTGGTCCATGTGGGCGATGCTGAGTCTTGTCAGAGGAGCTCGCCTCTATCACCTCAAGTCTGGGGTTATGTGCAGCTGAGATGATCGAGAAGACTTTAAAAAGACAACAAACAAACAGAGGAATAAAATTCTTCTTAATAAAAGGCACAAAATGTCTTTTTCTGTCATCCTAAATCGCTACGCTGAAGTATTTTTTTTTTCCAGTTTCTAATTTAGCCCCTCATCTAATCTACGTGATCAATGAGCTCGTCTAAAACAGATCAGATTACTGTGTGAATATCTCATCTCTGCAACTGCATCCATCTGCTGATATAAATCCATGAAATTCAAGCAGAGAGACAAGAGAAGATCATCTTCACAGCTGAGTTCAGAGCCGTCATTTGTTAGAAAATACCACCTTTTCACTGTTTCACTGAGGAAAAAAGTACAAAAATAAAACACCAGGCAAACTACATTTACATCAATCAATTAAAATCTTCAATTTTTTGTTTTTATTTATGCAGAGGCTTACACCTAATACATTTTTTTAAAATCACCTTTTCTGCTTACTGCTCTCCGTATCCAGCCTGAATTAAAAGTTTTGGCATGTTTGAAGTGTCGCACAGGTGGATGCCGTTTACTTATTCAGTGACCTATGAAGGCATTTGACTGGGAAATCAGATACAAATGATATTTTTTTGCAAAAAAGACAGAAAAACATTTGAATACAAGACTCATTTATCATTTCCAAGACATTGTATAACGGATCAATGCGGCCCCTTCAAGATTTTTGTCCATTTTTGTCTCTTTAAAGGGAGTATGTGTTTATATTTCCAATCTTCATATTAGACAATGTTGCTTTTTAACTTTCCCAATTCAAACATACAGCTTTAATCATGTGAAAATAATTTTACATGACAGCCAAACTAACTGATAAAACTAAAGCTAGCATCGTTTACTAAAAAAAATATATTAATTCGGCCAGATAATAGGTTTCCTGATGCAGCTATGCGAGATCAACTGTTGGGTAAAACTAATCATTTTATTTGAGTGCTTCATGTGTTCAGTTACCTAACTGGCTCTGACCAGTTATTCTTTAAGGTTCTTTCTTTATCTGTGATGTAATTTCCCACTCATCCATCTGTTCTGTTATCTCTGCACTGTTCCACTGAAGAAGGTCATCATGATAAAAGCCAATTCAAGCAGAGTTCACTAATCTTTGATCCTGACCGGGTTAGAGGTTGTGGATCTGTCCCTTTGCAAAGGAAGGCATAAAAACCTCATTGGTCTGGTGTCTGGTTCTTTACAACCCCCCCAACATTAACTATCTTTAAAAGTTTTGAAAAGTCATTCGAGTTTGACTTAAACAGAAACAAAACCTATAAATAACAAAAAAACGCCATTTCTTTTAGTTCCAGTATCAACTCTGCAAAGTTTCAAAGCCGGTAACTCACCATCCTGGAAGCATCGTCATCTGGGTTTTGTTTGCCGAAGAGCCAAAAGCCCAAACCTCCCAAAAGCCGTCATAGTTTGAAGTTTATAGCATCAAAACTCTGTGTTGCAGCAAGGTTTCCTTATTAACGAGGCGACACTGGACAGTGATCTGCTACCAAAGCCTTTACTGTCCCTCCTCTTGCAATATCATTACAGGGAAAATGAGCAGCCCACAAATTAGCTCCTGCACTCAGGAGATGCATGGATGCAAGATACACAAGCATGCACTCACACCTCGCGACCTCCCCCCGGGTGTAAAGCCTTTATTAATACTTAAGCAGGAATTGAATAACGGTCTACACAGTTCACAAGTGGATCAAACACCCCTCAGCTTTTGTTCTCCTGTCGGGAGACCTTTGGTTGGACTTCACACCGTCCTGGCTCACGCAACCAGGAGGTTTCATTTCACAAATGTAAGAAGAAAAAAGACAGGAAGAGGAAATGAGGAAAAAAAGAGGCAAAGTCAGGAGAAAGCAGGAAAACTGGACACAGAAAATCCAGAGAAACTGGAGCCGCATTGGCAATTAAATTGCAGAGCCAGATGCTGCAGCTGGGTGGAAATTGACCCCGCTGCTTTAAAATGGAGATTGTTGCATTGAGGCGGCCTGGTGGCAGGAACAGTGTGGAGGATAAAGTGGAGCACAGGATGGTAAAGTGATCCCGCTCCATATGCAATTAGATGAGGAGGACTTCAAGCCTGCAGCCAAAATACAGTAGAGGAGGGTGGGAGGGAAAAAAACTAGCTTTCCTTAAAAAAAAAAAAAAGCTAAAACTTTCCACCAGTAATCCACAGAGAATCATAAAGAATGCAATCATGGCCAAATCTTCAACATTTTGAGCAGTATTCTTTTGATTCTAATAAATAATATGCTTTTTTTTTATTACCCCAGATTCCTCAGATTTATGCAAAGAGTCCAAAATTACAACATTAACCAAATTCTGACTGATCCTTTTTACCTTATTAGTAATTTAGGTCAGGATGTATTAAAAAAAAAAAAAAAGCTAATCAACCTGCTTTTTGAAAATTTCATATTTTAAAACTATAAAACGAAGCACAAAAATTTTACTATATGGCAATATGATCCATTTTTTTTGTTTTGGTTTTTTTGCACCTCAACTACTTTGAACATGTTATCAGAGAAGGTATACTAAAAATATTAGTTATTTCCGGTAAAAAAAAACAAACAAAAAAAAAAACTTAATCACATTTTGTATTTACCCAACTAGTCTTTTTGTCTACAAAATGCAAAGAAAACACAAAGCAAACCTCAGTGAAAAAAAATTGTTCAGAAATAAAATCCATAAAAACATTTCAACATCGTCTTCAGAAATAAATGCAACAAAAACAGACGTTTTCCACACGAATTTATGTCATCCATGTTAGAAATGTACAACTCAGGGAGGATAAAAACACGTCAGCAGAAGCAAAGTTGTCAAAACGAGAGCTGCGTGTGATTGGTCAAGAAGGCATTCGAAAAGAAGATTTATTTTTTCTAACAATTTAACAGTTGAAATGATGAAGGCACTTGCAAATAACAGCGTCTTAGAAAATGTAAACAACAATTTGGCGTTACATTTTGTTTACTCACTACCATCTTTCTTTGTTCCTGGCTAAACCAAAAAATTCTATCAAAACAAATGAATAATGTGAATAAATGTGAATAAATATAAAAATAAACGGTTGAAATCATTTTTTTGAACCTCCAAACAAATGATTTGAAATCTGAATCAAACACTGCAACTAAAATGATTCACCAGTTGTTTTTTTTTTTCAGACAATACTGATCGTCTAAAGAACCGTAAAGTGCATCTCAAGATGACCGAGACATAAATAATAAAAATAAAAAATAAAATAAAAACAAGTATAGTAAATGGATATGCTTTGGATTACTCCGGCCAGAAAAGAATCAACATTTACTGATCGACTTAATCAAACACTTTGCTCCCAAATTTTAACTTTTTGGCCGCACTAACGGAATTAAACGATGAAAAGAAAAGTGAGGAAACTTTAAGATTTTTAAACAAAACAAACATTTAAAACAAGCCATCTCTCAGAAAAGTGAGTATTTAAAGACACATTTCTCCAAAGGCACATTTCAGTTCATATGGCAAGCTAGCCACCTTCACTCGCACTATTACAAAAATATTATTATTTAGCAATCGTTTCGTCTTAAACCTGGCTGGAGGCGCAACGTTTAACCGAAAATAGCCAGAGCGGCAGAAACGCAGCACAAACCTTTATTTTTTTAATTTTTTTTGTAATTGAATAAAACTTTGGACTTAAGGCGATTTATGGTCCATAGGAGAGAAAAAAAAAAAAAAAAGAAGAAATCACTGCCACATTTACAGTAGTGCTCATCATATCATCTCTGGCGTCAGTGCGTTTATTTAGAGCAAAAATAAGTCAAGTTTTTAGATCGACACTCGGAAGAGCATTAATGAGCTGCGGGGGACGGGAGAAACCATCTGAAGAGCCGAGTTTCCAGGAAATATTCCCACCAAGGAAACAAAGCTGCGAGCAGGCGGGCTGGCAAAGAGGAAAAACATAGAAGTGGAAATTTGTTCTGCTGCTTGGAGGCAAACGGGATCGTAACAGCTCCTTTTCTATCTTAGTGTAATCCACAAAGAGGCCGGGCCATCTCCTCGGAGCTGACTGCGTTTCCTAAAACGTAGAATACAAACGAGAGTAAATCTGAGCGTGATGCCTGCTGCATGTTCTTCAGCTTCCAGATGAGAGCGCCACCGTCACCTTTTCTTTTTTGTTGTTTTGAAATCACCCAGTCTCTCTCTTTCTGCCCAGTCAGTCTCTTTTCCTGTGGTTGTTGAGGACAGAGTGACCGTTTTGCACATGGCCGTTCTTCGGCTTGCCGCAGTCGTCTTCGTCGTCTGACTCCGTCTCCTCTTTATCGCTGCGCTCGTCCTCCACGATGTCCTGTCGCAAAAACACAAAGCGGAACGGAAAACGTGTTGAATTTCGGTCGGCTGATGCAACTTTGTTGCAATGCTGTCATCAACTCATCCACATCTTGTCCCTTATTTGAAGACTTTGATTAATTTATTCAGTTTTCAAGGCCATAGTTTTACAGCTAAAAATCTGAAAAGTGTGGCGTGTTTTTGTCCAATTTGACAACATGCAGACTGCTGCAAAGTGAACCTAAACTTCAGATCTTTAGTAGCTTGCCAACAGACTTTTTTTTTTCTTCTGCAACAATTTTCACCATCAGTTCTGGCAGGATCTACCAGCTTCCCACAGCATGACGATGCCACCACCGAATTTTATCATGAGGACGGAGTTTTAAGAGTGATATGGAGGTAGGCCTGTCACAATAGCCAATTTTTCTTTGTTAAACTATGATATCAATTAACACCAAACTAACATATTAATGCAAGTTCACCCTCTAAAAGATCAACAATCTTTAATTTCAAAAGAAGATTTAAACTGCAACACATTTTAAATATCAAAAACTAAAACAAATAAAACCAAAACCATAAATAAAGTACATTATGAAACCTTTCCCTTCAAAACATATTAATCATTAAGCCCAGACAAGGAAAACGGTCAAAACTTATGAATTTTGTAAAATATATGAAAAATGTAAAACTAATCTGTCCTTTTTAATAACATTAAAGGGCTGCGGTCTCTTTAAAAATGAGGCAAAGCAACACAAACGGGCTTGCAAATAAAAATTACTGGGCTCATTTTAATTTATCGTGCGACTAACTGATTTATTGCTTACTGTGACAGGCTTGCATTCAGGATTAGTTTTCTGGCTCTCATAATGTTTTATATAATTCAGATTTTTAGTTCCTTGCACGGCTTGTAACAAACTGCAAAGAGTTCCTCTTACAGCTTCATTTCAGCAACAGCTCTCCATCTATTCCATTTCGATTACGGCCAAAGTTCTGGATTTTCAAACAGCAGCAACAGATTCTTCCACCTGAGCCGAGGATATCTGCAGATCCTCCAAAGTTGCCGTGCTCTTCCCTTTCTCTCTCACAAGATGCTTCCTCTGTCGTCTCTAACAAACCTCTGACAGCCTCACAGGACAGCTTGGAGTTTTATTTTGGAGCGTCGGAGTGAAAGGTGTTACATTTTGATTTTTATGTGCAAAGAAATGATTTTGAGACCACGCACGCACTTTATTGCACCTAAAAAAATAAAAAAAATCCCAATAAGACACTGATTTCTGTTGCTTTTTCTTACATTTCCTGGCAGGAATTTGATGACCATGCGTAGGATGAGTCCCGTCCAGAAGACGTGCAGAATCAGCAGCACCACCAGCAGCCCGTTGAAGAAGTAGAAGCCGAAGAAGGTGGAGTAGAGGGACAGCGGGTACACGCCTGTTGCATATATGATCCTGGAGAAAGGGGCGAACAAAGGGGTCCATTCAGAACCGGCGTCAGTTATCCTCTGGAGCCCGTTGAGAACGGGCCGGGAGCTCAGACAAAGAAACATTGTTTGAAGAGCGGGGGGAGAAAAAAAAAAAAAAAAAAACAATAAAAAGTTGTGAAAACGTCAACAAATTTATATTTCAAGTACGGATTTGCTGCTTCTTGAGTGTGAAGAACGTAACCGTAGCCAATGATAAAACATTGATAAGTATAAAATGGCGTCTCAGTGATTCCTCCCACACTGAGCGTCTCTGTTGAACAGCTGCTTTTGTGGCAGAGTAGGAAGTGACATCCAAAGAATGAGAAAACTCACGCCGACTTGTTTATGGGAGACTGAATGCTGAAGAGGTGGTACAGTGAAGGAGAATTATCGCCAAATCAAAAACACTAAAATGATCGAAACGCCAATCTGTCATTCTCCTAAATGTTTCCAAACTTCCTGATGGCAGGAAAATATTAATTTTTTTTTTAATTTACGCATGAAAAACAAAAATAACTCAAGGCATTTGGTTAATTATTTCCATTTTAAAACTAAACAACTTGCTGACGGTGCAGAAAACAAATGAGTTCAATTAACTTGGGACAAATATGACGATGGTGCCAAATGTGTAAATAAAATATGCAAAGAAGAACAAAAATATAGAAATTCAGCTCCGCAGCCACCACTCACACATTCCTATTAAACATTGCATCGAATAAACATGCGTGTGACGCATCATGCGCGACGTTTTTCCGTTTTACCAGAAGGGGAAGATGATGAGGCGGGTGATGATGAAAACTGCAGCGAACACAGTGAAGATGAAGTTGCAGGTTTTTTTCCAGCCTGCGTAGTTAAACATTTTGGCCGACTAGAAAGAAAGCAGAAGAAAAAAGGAGATTTTTTTATTTTTATTTGTAGTTTTTTTTTTTTTTTTTTACCTCTACAGGGCAGAAACTCTCTACAAATATCGAAGAAATATTCATTTCTGCTGATGTAAAACTGTTCAATTATTTTAACCAAGAGAAGATATCTGGGGGGAAAAAATGGCAGAACAAATTGTTGCTCTTCTGTCAAACAGTTAATAAATCATTCTCACACTTGTAATCTACACTCAGTGATAAATTATACAGCATGGATTGCTCCATCAGTGACAAGCTGCTGCATCCCAAACACACAAAGCAACACTGCTGCAGGTTGTTCCTACCAGGAGATGCTCAGCTAGACTATTTAACGCAGCTCTAAAAATAATCAGTTAGAATTACCTTTACAGTTTCTCTTAAAAGGCTTTTTTTTTTTTGCACAAATATATCTCTCTACACATATAAGCTTATTAATACTGTGTGTTTGTACCATTTACATCTATCAATAACTGCAACGTTCTCACTTCCTGCAACTGTACAGCTTCTATTTTTAGTGTTATTACTGTGGTGTGCACACCTGCTTGTTTCCACTCGCCTGATACTTTGTGGCTGAAATTTACCCAATAACAGGGCAAAAAAAGTAATGATCCATTCCCAAAAATCACACAACCAGATTAAATTTCAGTTACATGCAAATCCAGTTTGTACGCTGCAAAAACACAAAATAATGCTGAGTAGTTTTTGTCTAGTTTCCAGTGCAAAGATCTTAGTACAAATGAAATAAAACAAGTAACTTTTCAGCTAGATATAAGAGATTGTTTTTTAATAATTCCCTAATGTTGATTTTTTTTTTAAAAGTAGTAGTTCTACTTATAAAAACATATTCTTCCAATGTTATAAGTGAAATAATTTGCCAGTCGAACTAGTGCGTTTTCTTTTTTTTTTTTAGTGCACTAAGGTATTTGCATTAGAAAATAGAGTAAAAATGCTTTGTTAGATTTTGTGTTTTTGGTCCATCCTCCACAAGTGAGATCAACTTTGAGGTTTTCTGCAACAAATTATTTAGGCGAAACAAAGGCTGAATATGTGGGAAAGCACAGGTACGGTAGAGGAGGTGTAATGCTGTGGGCGTGTTTTAACAAAACACAGATCCCTCTCAGTGTGGCATGGCTTAATTCACCTTGAAAAATCAGGAAATTTTAATGACAAATCTGATAACTTCTTTTAGTAAAGTAAAACTGGGTTGACGACCCACAACACAATTAAAACCAAATTAAAAATGGTTCGCCACACACAAAATCCACCATCTAACCCTTTTTAATGTCATTTTGGTTTAACCCTTTGGATTTTATAACGCATACATTTGTGAAGAAGCATAAAGAAACAACCATTTTTGGCCTTTTGGGCACATCATACCTCCATAAGATAGTCAGAGGCGTCGTGCACCAACATGATCAAAGTCCCGGCTCGGATGTAGTTGACCAGCCAGGAGAAGCTGATGAGGAGGATGGTAGCCACATGGTGAACGATTTGTTCTTTGAAATCCTTGACAGGAAGAAACAGGTGATGTTAAAAACCCAAATGCACCCAAGGATTGGTGACTTATTGATCGAGCTGTAAACATTCCTCAATAAAGCAATGCTCCAGGATCCAGTTTTCTTTTTTTTTTTTAATGATTTACTCTCTGCATAAAGCAGAGCGCACAGTTAGAGAAGCTACGCTACGTTTAAAAACATTCACGTTAAGACGTTTAGCTGGAAACGACAAAACTAATTCTCAGATTAAAAAGGAGACTTCCACACGGTGGCATTCTGCTGAACTTTAACCTGCTTTCTAGCTAAAACCCTGTTTTGGTTTGACAGATTATCAGCCTCCACTGGTTTGAGGTTTGCAGCTTTAGCGCTTTCTGAACAACATGTAAACCTCCTGCACACATTAACCCGACATGTCACACATGAGCAGCTCAGGAGATCGTCTTTACGGAGAGCTCGAAAAGCCGACGAGCTGCAGTCGATACGACGCGTCAGGATTTCACGAGCAAATCAATACCCAAACCTCAAAACGCGGCACAAACACAAGAGATCATTTTCAGGCACTTAGGAAATTACCACTCTTGACGGACGGTTTCCGAGGGCGAAGGTGTGTAACGTCAAACTATTTAGACACAATGCGGCTTCACTTGCCTTCCGCTTGACATCCGATGCCACGCTGAAAACCAGGGAGACGTAGAAGCCGAGCTCGATCATGTAGTACCAGTACTGGGAGGTCAACAGCGGCTGGAAAACGAGGAAACGTTCAAATCTCGTTCAGTAAAAACACAGGAAAATACTCACAACTTCAGGAGAAACATTTGAATAAACAATAATCACCATTTTGGGGAAGTTTTCCCACACCAGTTTTACATCATGGAACCACGGTTTCTACGAAGAAGCAGGAAAAGAATGATGTGAGAAGCAGGACGAGGACGTTTTTAAATGTCCACAAATCTACAACTGTTAGACCCGCCACAAACAAACAATAACTCAATTAATCGCATGAAAAATTAAAAGACACTCAATAATTCGTCGTTTTTCAAAAACAACCGAAATAAGAAATGAACACTGAAGATTCTGTAAAATAAAATAAACAGCCCACTGTAAAAAACAAAACAAAATCAAAAACAAGGGGCTAGTTGGGGAAAAAAAAAACAAGACAAGAAAAAAAATCATTAATGAAAGATTAGTAACTTAAATGTTGATGATTTTTCAGTTCATCTGCATGACAAGCTTTGGGCGCACTACTTACATCAACAAGGACTGCCAGGCCAGCAAAGAAAGCAAGAAGGTAAAATGTAAACCTCCAGCTGCAAAAGAAGAAAGCAATTATCTCAGAAAACAGGAATAGTGTTTAATAGTGTAGTGCTTTATGTAGCAAAACATAAAAAACTTGACTAAAAGGTGTTCAAAGAAGGGTAGAAAGCTGTTGCGATTACGAGATTTACGAGAAGGAAAAATGATAGTTTAGCCACATATCGTATCGTTTATCATTTATTGTGAAAAATTTCGTGTCACGATAAGAATTTTTGATTTATGGTTCTCGTGATAAATTTCAGTTGATGTTAAAAAAGTAACTAAAAATCTAATTTTTACCGTTTTCTCTACTATTTTTGTTCCCGGAGAGCATCAATAAATATGAATAAATTTGAAAATGTGATTAAAGTCAAGTCTTTACTTGTAGCGTTAGTAATAGAAATCACATGTGGCTTCCTGAAAAAGCTTATATGAAATAAGAATACTCTTCAAACGCAGCGTATTTGTGGTGAAGTGAAGTAATAAATAGTTTTCTTTTATCGTTTATCATTATCCCAAAAGCGCTACGAAATATCATGATAAAATTCACAATCCATTATCTACTGAGACGGACAAACGGCAGCTGGGAAACAGCTGGCCTGCGTTGGTTTTGCCGCTCACCAGATGTCAGTTTTTTTTCCTCTTTCTGCAACAGGTTTTGTGAAATGCTTCCTCCCACTTTGTGGGTGCGGCTTGCAGCTAGAAAAGGAGCCACTCGTGATGAAGAGGTCATCTGTGCCGCGTGGAAACAGTCGAATACGACGCAATTAAAAGCTTTAATGTGCGGCAGGAATGTCTCTCACGGCGGCTTTATAACAACAACCTCAATAAATCACTGTTACTGTTTTACAACGGCGGCTGCCGGTGGGAGCTCAGAGCCGGCGCTGCTCTGCGGTTTCTGCGAGAGACGACTTCCCCACAAAGTGCTGCTGCAGGGTTTGCATGCTTTCACGTCGACACGCTCGCAAGAAATGTTTCATTTGCGAGAGAACATCATGACCTCCAGAAAAATGAAACTATGTGAGCACTGGGACTCAAAGGAAATGCGGTTCTGTTCGGAGGGAAATGGAAGGATTTAGAAGCGTGGACGTAAACCAACCTCGCTTCCTGAAACTTCTTGAGCTTGCTGGGTCGGTCTTGATTTCTCCGTCGCCTGAACCACCGCTGCACCTGTCGCACCGAGCATCCCGTCTGTTTACTTAAACTCTCTATGGATCTCTGGAAGGAGACAAGACAGCAGGGAGGAAACTGAACCCGGTGCTGCATTCGGGTTGGACCGCACCGAACGCCCCACATCAGAATCTACAAGCAAAACTTTTATCCGTTCTTGGCAGTTTTTCATGTCATATCTGTATTTTTGTCCAGGCTCTGATTTTGAAAGTCTGGAGGCATTTTTACCCTGTGGACGGACTGAATGGACGGACAGACAAACGGATGGTTGGCTGGACGACTGGAGACAAACATTTGGTGGGAGTAGAAAAACAAACGGACAAACAGAAAGACAAACGGATCAATGGATGGACAGACAGACGAGAACTGGACAGATAGAAGGACAGACAAATGACAAGTGGACAGAAGGATAAATAGATAGATGGGCAGCTAGAGGGATGGACAAACAAATGGACAGTCAGTTGGAAAGAAGGACAAACAGATTATACTGGACAGAAGGACAGATAGACAGATGACCACTGGACAGAAGGACAAACAGATGACAACTGGACAGAAGGACAAACAGATGACAACTGGACAGAAGGACAGACTGATGACACCTGGACAGAAGGACAGACAAATGACCACTGGACAGAAGGACAAACAGATGACAACTGGACAGAAGGACAGACAGATGACAACTGGACAGAAGGACAGACAGATGACAACTGGACAGAGGGACAGATAGACAAACAGATGACAACTGGACAGAATGACAGATAGACAAACAGATGACAACTGGACAGA